CAATTATGCAAAATTAAAGAAATACTTAAAAAGAGAAAAATAGGAATTAAATTGAAAAATCATTAAAAATCAAATCTAACAGCACAGAAAAATCACAAATCAAGAGGGGATCATGAGCATATTTTTATTTTATTTTTCTGACAATTATTGAAATTAAAATGAATTAAAATAAGAAAATGCAATTAAAATAATAAGAAAATGAATTAAGAAAATCAAATAAGCTGGAAAATATCACACGCTTTGGATCAGAAGACCAGTCAATGCAATCCAAGGATCAGGAAGCTGCCAGCGCATTAATTGGAACGCAGCGTTTTGGTCCAAAACTTAAGTTCTCAGAATAAATCACAACCGCACGATGAGGATACTTTGTCAAGGTTTCAACCAGATCCAATGAACCACAACTTTCTTCTTCGTTTGAATCCTCAGATGGAGGGAAGCCCAACACGGTGGTCGGAGATGACCTCCGGTCATCTTCTCCGGTGAGCAGGTGATTACAGGTCATGCAAACTCAACAAACTTAACACCAATCAACTCCAAATTTCCTCCTGATCTCAAATATAACCTTCAATTTCTCTAAATCCTACTAGATTTTAAAACACGAAGCAGATCCTAAAATGCACTTCAATCTGAACTCTCACCAAAACTCAAACTAATGGTACAAATTTAATCCTCATCTAACACTGATCATCACATGCTATTCCAATTGAATTAAAGCCTCAAGATCAGATCAACTCGCATCCAAACAGAAATCATGTCATCACCTAATTTGTCTCTAAACATCCAATTTCCGATCCAAAATTCATCTACATCCTAAATCCAAACCTATCCACATACTAATCATGCTCAGATCATGCTATAACCAGTGTAAATTCAAAAACTACATACCTGACTTTGAGCTTCAAATTGAGGTATGTAGAGCACGATTCTGACTTCAAAACAATGCAGATTGCTTCAATGCTTGACGAGGAACACTTTTGTAACTTCAATTTGCTTGAATTTGGCTTGGAAATGAAAACACGATTTCAAATTTCTCCTTCAAGCTCCAACTCCAATCCTTGGCTCTGGTGCGAAATGATCTTCAAAATGGAGCAAAACCTCTCACAGAACTTAAATACAATTGGTTTGTGGGCTTTAGGGGTTCAATTGAGGCCCAAAATAGAAAATCCAATTTTCAAATTTCTTTTAAAACTCAACCATGGTGAATGCGTGTTCTAACTTGAAACTTCCCTTGGAAGCTTTCAATCTTCTCCTTGCAGTCTGATGAGAGAGTCTAGAGTGATTTGAGTACTTGAATCCATTCAATAACCAAGTTATGAGGTGTTACTTATTTGTGAAGTAACAAAACATATCACCATGAAATTGACCTCAAATGGAAATTCTAAAAATGCCAAAGTGTTTAGAATTGTTTTTCTGATCAAAATGAGTATTCATATGGTCCATTTTGAGCACAAATGAATTGATCATGAATTTTTCAACCAAATGCCTTTAATTTCTTCCTATTGCAAAATTTTTCAAACCAAGTCTCACCTAAACCCAAATCAATCCATCATGAGTATATGATCAACATAAAAACATCATTTTGAGCAAGTTTTGTGTTGAACAAAATTGCATTTGAAGCTTGGAAGATGGAGAAAATGACCCATAATGCCAAATGACCTATAATCTTACTTTCCCAAAATACCCCTAACTTGTAAACCTCATAACTTGAGTTCTACAAATCATATGGAAGACTTCTAATACAATTTGGAAAGCTAAGATCAAGACCTACAACTTTCATGTCGGCCAAAAGTTTAGGAGAAACACCCTCCTAGGTCAGAATCTCCTTGGAAGTTGGTGAACTTTCATAGACAAATTTCGCATTCCTCAGATGACCTGTAACTTGTCTGGACCATAACTTGAATTCTATAAATCCAATGGAGGACTTCTAGTACTCAAATTAAAGCTAAGAGCATGATATACAAGTTTCATGTTGGCCAAAAATGGAGATGAAACTTACATCTTGAGATAAGTGGTCTTGAAGTTAGACACTAAATAGGGGATTTTACCCTGAGAACCCTAATTTAGCAACTCCTCACACCTTAAACTTTTCTTGCATAGATCTTGAAATATTATCTCATGTGTCTCAACACAACCATCCATGATTGCAAAGACCTAGAATTGAGCTTTGATCCTCTTCAATTGGTCAGTTGACTTAAGATTACTCAGATGAAAACCCTACTTGCAACACCTTCAACTGTGGCTCTTCACACTTGGCACAATGACTTGATTGAGCTCCACCACGATCCTCAAGGCACTTCAATAAGCTCTACTCACACCCTCTCACCTTGGTCAAGACCTCACAATCCATTGATGATCTTCAATTGGTCCTCAAATTAGGAGACTAACCCCATACAGACAAATGAACTCCTTAAGGAACCCACCCTTTTCTTGATGATTATGATGGCTTCTCAAACTTGCACAAGACCTTTAGATAGGCTCCACACTTGATCCCTTGTTAAATGAACAATGCTATGCTATGCAAATGCTGGATCAATGATATGCTAATGCAATGAAACACAAACCAAGTAAGAAAAGGTTAGGCAAATTTTGGGGTGCAACACTATTGAACCAACTACAAATCTTCTGCCTATTCCTAAGAAAAGAAGACCTAATGCTAATGGTAATAGAAAGAGATCCTAGGTTTGGGACCACTTTAACCTTATTCCTAATAGTGACCCCCTACTGCTGCCTGTAAATACTGCCATCAAATGTACATGTGTGACTCTAAGAAACATGGAACTTCAAACTTAAAAAGTCACATGAAAACATGCCCTAAGTATCCGTTGAACCTGTCAACTGACCCCACCCAAACAATCTTGACATTTTCAACAACTCAGGGAGTTGGGCTGGTTCCAACAAGTTTTATTTTTGATCCTGTAGGTTGTAGAAAGAGGTTAGCTTATTTTATCATTTTGGACGAGAAACCCGTTATTACAGTTAAAGGAGAGGGGTTCAAGTACTTTTGTAAGCAAATGCAGCCCCAATTTTCTATACCGTCAAGGAGAACCATAGCTAGGGACTATTTTCAATTATATCTTGATGAGAAAGTGAGGTTGAGGGCATTATTTAAATATGATTTTATTAGGGTGGCAATAACAACAGATTATTGGACATCTGTCCAAAATCTAAACTATTTGACCCTAACAACTCATTTTATTGATAGAGATTGGAATTACCAAAAGAGGATTATTAGCTTTACCGTTATTCTAAATCACCATGGTAGAATGGTTGGTAAGAAGGTTGAGGATGTATTGAAGGAGTGGGGGATGAGAAATGTTTCTACCATTTTGGTTGATTATTCGGCATCAAATGATGTTGCTGTTAAATATTTAGAGCAGAAAGTAAGAAATATGAATGGACTTTTAATGGATGGGTTTGGGTTTCACATGAGGTGTTGTACTCATATACTGAATTTGGTTGTTAGAGATAGATTAAAAGTAGCCAGCACCTCAATTTCAAGTGTTAGAAATGCTATTAGGTTTGTGATATTTTCACCCCATAGAGCTTTAAAGTTCAAGGAGTGTGTGGAATATGTCGAGATTACATGTAAGAAGTCAGTATGTCTTAATGTTTCAACTAGATGGAACTTGACATATTTGATGTTAGATGCGGCTGAGAAATTTCAAACTGTTTTTGATAAACTAGAAGACAGGGATGAAGACTATAGGGATTTCTTTGACGGTGATTCCCCCTAGTAGTCAAGATTGGGATAATGTTAGAGTTTTTATTAAGTTTTTGAAGAAATATTATGAAGCGACAAAGGTTTTTTCTGTTTCAACAAAAGCAAGTTTGTATACTGCTTTTCCATTCTTGGCTGAAATCTACATTGAACTTAAGAAATTAAACATGGACCTTAATGATTGTTTGCAAATGTGGCACGAAACATGTTGGAAAAGTTTTGTAAATACCGGCTTGATATCACTAAGATGAACCGGCTCCTTTATTTTGGTATTATTTTTTATCCCTTATATAAGTTAAAATATGTGGAATGGTGCTTTAATGATATGTATGGAAAAGATTCAGACACTAAGAAATCCGTATTAAAAGATATCAATAACAATTTTTCAAAGATGTTCGATCTTTACAAACAAGCCCATGACATTGCTGAAGGCTCAATCACATCTGTTGCAACCGCTGTTTCTCATGGTGGAACGGCTGCCAGTTACGAATTACCCACATATATAGCTAGAGAAAATGCCTTTCAGGAACATTTGATGTCTATTGATTCAGTAGAAAAAGAAACCGAGCTTCAGAGTTATATTGCTGGAAAATGTTTAACTTTCAATGAAAAAGATAAAGAAAAGTTCGACATTCTTTGTTGGTGGAAACATAATGCTGGTCAATACCCAATTCTGTCCCAAATAGTTAGAGATATCATACCTACACCAGTTTCAACTGTGGCTTCTGAGAGTGCATTTAACACGGTTGGAAGGATTTTGGAGGTATACAAAAGCTCTCTCAAATCAGAAATGGCTGAAGCTTTAATTTGTACTCAGAACTGGTTGAGACCTACCTTTTACCAATTCAAAGGCATGGAATTTAACAAGGATTATGAGATATCTGAAGATGCTTTACTAGGTATTGCGTCTATTTTTCTTTAAGTGTAATTTTTTATTCTGTTTGTAAAATGTTAAAGTTAAGGTTTTCTTATCATGTTTGTAATTTCTTATTATGTTTTAAATATATTTTAGGATTTACTGAAACTTCAGCCGAAAGTGGAGCACTATCTTCTTCTCATACTCAGTCACAGATTTCGGTTTGTGCGTGAAAAACATATTCAGGTTCAATTCCCTTGTATTTTTGTTCATGTGTTTTTGTTAAATAAAACATGTATTCTTATGTTTTTCCTTATATTTGTAGCAGACACTTTTTGAATTTTTTTGGAGTCATGAGCGACTCGTATTTTGAATCCATGTATAACCAACCAAACACTTTTTTGAAAGAATATCTAGAAACTTTTGATGAATCCATGTATATCCAACCAAACACTTTTCGAAAGAGGTCCGTTTGTCGCTACTAGTTATGACTATGATGCTCCACTAGATGAATATGGTGAGAATTCAATATTGAAATTGTATCTCAAACGATATTATTGATGATGATTAATTGAATAGCTTTGTATTTTGTTTTTAAACAATGCAGGTTTGATTAGGCAGCCAAAATATGGTCATCTAAAGGAGCTTCATAGAGCTATCAAGATGTGCGAGCAAGCTTTGGTTTCAACCGATCCAATCGTTACTTCATTAGGGAGCTCCCAACAGGTTTTAACTCGATTCAAAGTATTTTTAGCTATCTGCTTGTATTTAGCTTATTTATAATTCTATTATAACATGATATATTTGTCTAGACACTAGGTAACACTAATAACCTCAAACTAATCTCTTACAAGAATTTAGAGTGATAATCAGAAAGAATTGAGAGTGATTTTCAGTGAATGATTATTGAGTGAATGAAATGTTATATAGGGGGAAAATTGCAACTAAATCGTGTAGAATTTTGGGCAGGTCTGTTACAAATTTGGGCAGGGTTAATTGTTAGTGAAATTGGAGAGGAAATTTGTTAGAGGTGTTAACACTGTTAGCATCTGTTAAATGTTATTTACAGTTAATTTACTTACATTTATAGGAATTTTTTAGGATGAGGGAAGTTAATTTGGATAGTGAAGAAGGTTAGTTAGTGGGAACATGAACTAGTTAGTTAAGAGTGAGTGAGTTGTTATATGTGATACTTTGTGGTTGTTTGATTGGTTTTGCAATGTTGTGATGAATTTTAGTTAGTAGCTTTGGGATAGGAAATATTATGTTACGTGTTTGAATGATTATGCGATGCTCAAATTTTTTATGAAATCCTACTGCACTGCTACAGTAAATGCAAATGCCATTAGGTGAACTTGTTGCATTGGTTAAGAGTTGGTGTTAATTGAATATGCAGAATGCTAATAATTCACATGTTTGGATTGAATGGTGGTGTTCCTTACATTTGATATAGGTTGCATAGTTTTGCAGGAAATATTGAGATGTATGTGTTGCACCCTGAAATTTGACCAACTTGTTTTACCTGATTTGTGTTTTCATAGCTTTATCATTTGCATAGTAGATCATATACATAGTTCATTCATTTGCATAGCATAGCATGGGCAAGTCATCCAACAAGGGATCAAGTACTATTTTCATCTCAAGAAGCATATCCAAAAGGTTTTTATCAAGAATCAAGCCCATTCAAGTCACCAAGAAAGAAATTGAAGCTTTGAGAAGTTAAAAGGCCAAGCAGTGGGTTTCTCTCCTATCTTGAGGGTATTTGAAGATCATCAGAGAAGTTGTGAGTTATGAATTGAGGGCATGGAATGTGTAGAGACATCATGGAATACCTAGAGGGTCATTTTGAAGATGATACAAGTTATTGGTGTGGTTACAAGAACTACAGTTGAAGACAGTCAACTAGGGTTTCATCTGGGTCAACCCTATGTCAACCTTAAGTCTAATGCTTGATTGAAGGGCATCAAGGCCTATTTGAATGATGTGGGATTAATCATTTTATATGTGGGTATGGATGTGGTGTTGTGCCAAGTAGAAATCAAAAGAAATCAAGAAGAAGAGAAGTTTCTAAATTAGGGTTTCTGTGTAAAATTCCCTGATTTAGGTCAAACTTCCAAGCAAGATAATTCAAAATGAAAGTCTCAAATGGATCCTTGGCCAACATGAAACTTGTAGTCATATCAAGACCTTTAATTTGAGTGATGGAAGGCATCAAGGAGGTTTATAGAACTCAAGTTATGGTTCTTGCAAGTTACAGGTCATCTGAGGACACTGAAATTTATCTGTGAAAGTTACTTGACTTCCAAGCAACTTTTACCCCATAAGGATTTTTCAAATGGATTTTTGGCCAACATGAAAGTTGTTCCTAATGATCTTATATTTCTAGAAAGGTATGGTATGCCTCAATCTGATTTGTGGAGCTCTACTTATGATCTTGACAAGCCAGGGGTATTTTGGGAAAGTAAGTTTATAGGTCATTTCAAGCATATGCCTAAAACTCCTACTTGCAAGCTTCAAATGGAAAAATGTTCAACAACAAACTTGCTCAAAATGATGTTTTGAGTCTAGAAAAGAGGTCATGATGGCTTGGAAATGCATGGAACTCAAGATGATAAAATTGACCAAATAAGGAAGGTAAAAGTCCATTTTCAAGTGACCAAATTTGGGATTTTTTGATCCAAAGCCAAAATACACCATGTGATATACCAAATTGAAGGGAAAACATGATTTGAGATCATTGACACCATTGGATTTTTAATTTGAGGTCAAGAACTTGGGCCTATCATTGGTTACTTATATGAGAAGCTACACTTGCCAAACCACATAAGGATCAAGGTACAAGGCAAGGAACCATCCCTACACTTTCTAATTCTCATTTGGGGAGATATTCAAGCTACTTTGATAGGCTGTAACAAGGCAAGAAGGGACTGGTTTTTGCATTGGCTATTTTCAACATCTCATGGCATGAGAATTGCAAAATCTCATATGATCATTCCAGATCTTTCTAGAGGGTTCTAACACTTCCTATATATGAATTTGAGTTGATCTAAACCAAGGTTGGACTTCATTTGGTGCAGAGAAGAGAGATTGAGATTTATCTTGCTCAATTGCAATTCACAATCGAATTCTTCATTTTCTTCACAGTCAATCCATTCTTTTGATTCAATTCAATTCAATAATCATCACTGAGTGCATTGCAATCAAAATCAGAGTGAATCCATGGTTGAATCGAGTTCTTGAAGTTTCATTTCTTCACCTGCAACTGAAATTCTGTTTCAAGGATCCAAGCTGTTAGAGGAGAAGATAGTACATACAGAAGCAATAAATCATCACACTGATCGAATCTGGAAATTATCAAGCATTGATTTGGAGCTTTGGTTCATCTGTTTTGCTCGATTTAACAGGTTAGTACATTTCAATCCCTGACACGATTTACTTGTTTTTCTTAGATGTTAGGTGGTTAGAATGATAAGAAATGATCATGTGGAACTTTTAGGCTTTGATTCATGGAATTTAGAGACAATTAGGTTATGGACACATTTTCTGTTTTGATGAAGAACTTGATGAATTTGGAGTTAGAAGGTGTGTTTGACAGTTAGAGTTGCTCCTAGTAAGATAAGGAAGAGATTGAGCCCAACAATTTGATGAATGGTGAAAATTGATGTTGGACCAAATCTTGGAGGTGGAATCGTGTTTAAGGCTAGAAGGTGTTTCAATGGATTCTGAAGCCATGGTTAAAATCAGGATGAAATTTAGAGTTAGTCTGGGTTTTTATTTGTTGATTTTGGCTGAGTATGGATGAAGTTCGCGTATGGAGAAGATGAGTTCAAGAACTCTGTTCTAATGGAGTTTCCCCCCATTTTGTGTTCAAAGGAAGAAGATGGGTTCTATACCATCAGATCTTGCAAGACCTGTTGACTAATATCAGATCCAACGGCCGTGCTTTAATCTCATGTTGTGAAGGGAACGATTCTGAATAGAGTGAAACGCAGACGTTTCACTTAAAATGTTGTCGTGGGCTTAAACTGAAAGTTCCTATTCCCACCCCACTCACGAGCCCAATTGGATAATGAACTAAGTTGCTTCTATTTGCACCGCATCCTTTTTATTTTCTTTACTATTTTTAATTGTTTTTCTGATGAAGCATTGGGCTTAACATAATTGATACGCGCACCCCCCTGGCTGATGGCCCACGAGCTTTTGAACTAAACACTTGCTATCTGGACCCCCTGAGTGTGTTTTATTTCTTTTTATCATTTTATTTTACAACTTTGAAAATTCATATAAAATCAGAAAATAGTCATTTTAATATGGGAATTTTTGCTACATGTTGATAATGGTTTCAAGAATATTGTGAATAAATAAAATGTTAGTTTAGGTTTTTTATATTTTTTGTGAATATTTTACTTTTAATTGGTCTTTTATTGAATATGGTTTGTACATCAATTTGTCTATTTTTGTTTAGATAGCTCCCCTTATTTTTTTAGGCCATTCTTTTTAGGATAATTAGATACGAACTTTAGGAATCCCTCGGATTTATTCCATGATTTTATAATTAGTTTTTGATTAGTTTTGATTAGTGAATATTAAAATGGTTAGATTAGGGTTTATACACAACATAGGTGCACTTGAACATTTTATTTTTAGGTTTTTTAGATTGAATTAGGGTATGGGACCTATGGGGTATGTAGGGTAGATATAGTACTTCCCTTAGAATTAATATTAGGCTTGTAAATACTATATTAATATTTTTAGTATATTTTGTAATTTGTTTGATTGTATGGTGTGCCCTTTTGGGGTTTATATTGTTTGTGTGGGCTTATTGGGCTTTGCTTGGGGTGTGGGCTTGGTTTGAAGAGCATGATGATGGAGCATATTGAAGACAAAGTTGAAGCTGAAGATCAAAGCTTGATGAAGATGCTTGGATTGCTTGAAGCTGTTTGAAGATCTAGGACATAGGAGCTAGATAGAGCCTTAGAATAGAAAATTTCTTCACAAATATGGATGGCTTCTTTTGCCTCCACTCTTCTCAATGATTAAAAGTCTCTCCTTAATACTCACATCCCTCCTTTGGAAGGATTAGTGACTGTATCTAGGAGATAGAACTTTGAGAGAAACAGTCTGTATTATGTTAACTTTCTGTAGGCCACCTTTGGTGTTCAACAGATTGTTTAACATTCAAAATCCTCTTGTAATCATTTCTCTGTTGGAGAGTTTGCTTTGAAGAAGCCCTTGAAGATTGAGGATGAAGTTCATTGCCTTGAAGACTGATAGAAGAAGGAGCTTGTGCTGTCAGGTTTTGCTGTTTAGAGTTGTTGGTGTTGTTTAGAGCTGTTGATGTATTGTTTGAATTTCTTGACTGTATTGTTTGTTATTTTTTCCCTTAGGTTTGAAGTGAAGTTGTTTCGCTTTGCCTATTGTTTTCTAGGTTTGAGGTTGAGTGGGACTCCCTTGCCTCGCTTGTACTGCTGCATTCATGCATTTTACCGCTTTACTGTATATATGCTGTTGCTTTTCCGTTTATCCCCTTAGGATCTCTGTTTCTCTCTGCGCAAGAGAGAAATATGACAGACATTAGGCTCTCATCCATGCATGCCAATATTAGGGTAGATTTTGATTCCCTTTTCAACCCTAGGTTTTAGAGCTTCTTTCTTTTCTCATCTCAAAACAATCAAAAAACACAATAAAAATTTCAAACACCATAAAAAACAGTTCTTGCGTAAAAGACTGTAAACCAATCAAAGAGTCATTTTTGTCCGCTTGGACCCATAATCAGGAGAAAA